TCACGAACGGGCCCGTCATCGAACTTGGCCCCCCCCTTCGCCTCGCCGTTGGCCTTGCACTCCGGGGCGCTCTTGGTGCCCGTCGGGATCGAGTGCTTCTCGTCCGTGATCTCCTGGTCCGCATGCAGGGGCACGCTAAAGTCGCATCGGATCAGCGCCGCCCCCCCCTTCGGGTCGACATCGCCGAGGTCCTCCACGGACTTCTTCGCGACGATCTTCTCATCCAGCGCAGCCGCGCCCGGCGGCCCTGTCCCCGCCGCGAGCTCCACGGGCCTGCGCGTCGAGGGCCTCCTGCTCGTCAGCCTGCGCGTGGCCCTGCGCATCGGCCTGCGCGTCGAGGGCCTCCTGCACTTCTGCCTCCTGCTCGTCGAAGGCCTCCTGCCCGCCGACCTGCACGTGGCCCTGTTCCACGGCGCGTCAGGCCTCGACGGCGTCAGGGTGACCACGGCGCTCTCCAGGTAGTCCAGTTCCTCCTTCATCGGGAGGCCCGTGACGCTCGTCCCCAGGAGCTCGGTCACGTCCTCGGTGGAAGAGTGGGCATGGTGCGTGGTGCCGAACGTGTCCTTCACGAACAGGCCCGTCAGGCTGGCCGGGCTTTCTGCCAGGTCGGGGTCAAACTTGGTGTCCCCCTTCACCTCGCCGTTGGCATTGCACTCCGGGGTGCTCTTGGTGTCCGTCGGGGTCGAGGCCGTGATGTGCTTCTCGTCCGTGATCTCCTGGTCCGCAAACAGGGGCACGTTGAGGTCGCATCGGATCAGCATCGTCTTTCCCTTCAGGTCGACACCGCCGAAGTCCTCCACGGACTTCTTCACGACGATCTTCGGGTCCAGCACCTGCGCGACCCGGCGCGCCAAGAGGTCGACGTCCGCGCATCGAAGGGCGGCGCCGTGCGGGCCAGCCCAGGCGGCAGAGCGCCGCCGCCAAAGGCCTCTGGGCCAGCAGCGCGGCCGACCCAGGAAACATCTCGCGTCGCGGCCGGACCCGCGACGCGCATGGCAGCTGCCCCGAGAAAGGTTCGCGGATAACTTGTAGCCGCGCCCAAAACCTCGAGCCGGGGCATAAGGAGGAGGGGGGAGGAAGGATGAGGGGGAGGGCCTGCTCCTCTCATTCTCCTAGCCCCTCTCCCCTCGTCCTCCTCCTCGTCCTCCTCTACCTCCTCCGCTTCCTCCTCCTCCTCCTCCTCCTCCTCTTCCTCCTCCTTCTCATCCTACTACTCTCCTTTCTCGTCCTCCTCTTCCTCCTCCTCCTCCTCCTCCTCCACCTCTTCCTCCTCTTCCTCCTCCTCCTCCTCCTCCTCCTCCTTCTCCTACCTCTCCTCCTCCACCTCCTCCTGCTACTCCTCCTCTTCCTCCTCCTTCATTCCTTTTCCATATAAATAACTTTTCCCTGTCGCACCCCGAGGCCAGTCTTTAGGGAAGGCTGGACGTTTCGTCTGAGACTTCTTCACCATCTATGCCCCCGAAGCTAAACACATGGCAGCCGCTTCACAGACGGAGGGCGGGTGGTTTTTGAATATGTGGCTCTCGCCGCAGTGCCGCGCACATTCCTTCTACAAAATTACAAGGAGTTTCACGGATTGAAGACGGGCCGTTTTCAAATGCGGCTGTTGCTTTAGCGCCGCGCGCATTCGTTTGAAACATGTGCTGGAACTTCAAGGATTGGGGGCGGGAGGTTTTCAAAAGGTGGCTCTCGCCTTAGCGCCGCGCACATTCATTTTCAACATTTGCCAGAGCTTCACGGATTGAGGGCGGGTGGTTGTTTTAAATGTGGCTCTCGCCTTACCGCCGCGCGCATTCATTCGTTTTGAAACTTTGCAAGAGCTAGACGGATTGAGGGCGGGTGGTTTTCAAAATGTGGCTCTCACCTTAGCGCCGCACACATTCGTATTAACATGATCGACCCACGAACCCGGAAAGGAATATAGAAATGTAAGGCCCGACAGCGTTTCAAAGACACCTGATTGGGCGACGGGCAAATGCAATGCTGAATGGATCGATCTTGATATAATGTGCTGAGGGCTGTGCTGGGCTACGACGCGCTGAAATGCGATGTGCCATGCCGCGATTGTGCTCTATGTAGCGTTGTGGATCGAGTCCTCCCTGGCATCCGAGTCCTGACCGAACTGATCTGGATCTTAAGCTCAAGCTGCATGAGCAAATGGTAGCTGCCCCAGAACTAATCGACAGAGGGGACATGCCAGGAGGACGCGCCGCGGAACGTCAATAGGGACGCGCCAGGCGACGTGCCAGGGGACGTGCCATGGGCACGCACCGCGGGACGTGCCAAGGGGACGCGCTACGGAACGTGCCAATGGACGTGCCGCGGGACGTGCCAGGGGACGCGCCAAGGAACGTGCCAAGGTGCAATGTTGAGTGTATCGATCTTGATGTAACGTGCCGACGGCTGTGCTGTGCTGGGCCGTGCTGAACTGCGATGTGCCATGCCGCGATTGTGCTCTATATAGCGTTGTGGATCGAGTCCTCTTTGCATCGGAGCCCTGACCGACCTGATCTGGATCTTAAGCTCGAGCTGCCTAAGCAGATGGTAGCTGCCCCAGAACTAATCGACAGGGGAAACATGCCAGGAGGACGCGCCGCGGAACGTCAATAGGGACGACCCCGGCGACGTGCCAGGGGACGTGCCATGGGCACGCACCGCGGGACGTGCCAAGGGGACGCGCTACGGAACGTGCCACTGGACGTGCACCACGCGACGTGCAAGGGGGACTCGCCACGGGACGCTCCGCTGAACGTGCCAAGCAACATGCCAGGCTGCACTGCTAAGGGTATCGATATTGATGTATCGTGCCGAGAAAACAAGCCTCTGGTTCGAGACATCCTCAAGATCTGGGCACGTGAAAACAAGCATTTCACTTGAGAGATCCTCTGGATTCAGGTCCCCAGGACAGGACAATCTATAACACAAAACAAGCGTTTCGCTCGAGACGTCCTCAAGCAATTCTGAACAACAAGCGTTTCGCTAGGGACATCCCCAAATTCAGATTCGCCGGCCCTACGCGACCTCGTTATTTATCGCAGAAGAAAGTCGCCGGCCCTACAGCCGTCAAAACTGGGGGGAAACAAAACTAAACGAAAAACCCTGGACGTGAGCCCTTTCCGGGAAAAACGTGCATGAGTTTCACGGATTGGAGGCGTTCTTGTTTCAAAATGTGGCTCTCGCCTTAGCGCCGCATGCATTCGTTTTAACAAATTGCAAGAGTTTCACGGGTTCCAATGATCACCGCACCAGAAATGGTGCATTCGAAGGATTCAGGATTATGCGGGTGCAACAGTTCTATGGTTTCGCGGTGTCGAAGTCCCAAGAATTGCGTTCTGGCACGATTCCATATCGTCAGGACGCAGCAGTCACGTTGACCCGTGGCGTGACAATCCCGAGAACAATGTTTTGGCATGCTTCAAGGTGTTCAAACGGTTGTCTTCCAACAAAGCAGTTCCCTCAATGGAAATAAACCGTTGTTGGGGCCGATAGAGAGGGAGCTTGGGGGGGTTAGTTCCAACGTCGTTGATGACTCTTGGGTTTCCACTGGTCCTCCTCCTCCTTCTCCAGAGGGCGGGATTTGGAAAGGTCGGCGGCACCCCCCCTCCTCGCCGAGTAGCGAAGCCACTTGCGAGGCGTCGACCGCGTCTGGCGAGCTAAGCACCTCTCGGGGTCTCCGCCGCGGGGGAGGGCGCTCCACCAGACAAGAGAAAGAGAAGCCACCTCCGGGGGCTACCCGGGAGGAGGAGGAGGAGGATGAAGAGGAAATAGGGCCAGGAGGCTGAAGAGGAACGATGCCTTCCCAGCAGACAGATCAAGGGACGGTGACAAGACCACGTCGGCCGTGACTCGCTGCCCATCCAAGACGGCTTGGTGCTTAGGGTGGCAGGATCCCGTAAAGCCTTCACCGTTGCTTCAGGAGATGGAGCCAGGAGGAGGAGGAAGGGAACAGGAGAAAACGGAACCCATGGAGCCTGTGGTGGGGGAGGAGGGGGAGGGGGAGGAGGAGGAGGAGGAGAGGGAGGAGGAGGAGGAGGAGGAGGAGGAGGAAGACGTGGTGGTGGGCTCTCCTCCTACTGCACTTCCTCCTCCTCCTTCCTCCTCCTCCTCCTTCCTCCTCCACCTTCTCACGGGCTGGCGCGCACTTGCGCCTTCCAGTCACTCTATGCCTCCGATACGCAAAGGGTGGGGATACTGAAGTTCGGGATTCCAGAAAGATAGCGAACTGCTTCAGAAGATGAGGAGGAGGAAGAGGAGGAGGAAGAGGATGAGGAAGAGGAGGAAGAGGAGGAGCAGCAGCAGGAGTCAACGGAGCTCGTCGGAGCGAGCTCGACACATGTTTCGGAATGTAGGGATGTACGGGGTGCCGAGACATCTCTCGGAGCGCATGGAGTTTACGGACGTACGGAGGGAGTGGGAGGAGCACGGAACCTCAGAAATACGATCCATCGGTCGGACGAAGTAGGTAGAAGCATCAAGTAGGAAGGCGTTGGGAAAACATTGGGTGTCCGCCCGCCCCCTAAAGAGGACGTAAAAAGCTGAAGCAACTCGATCATTGAAGTAGGAAGGCGCCTAAAGTGTATATACTGTAATCTGGGACTCCAAAAATACCAATATTCAACGATCGGTGGGCATGGTATAGCAACGCCCTGCTCGCTCAAGCGGGGCCTCCGTGGATGGGGTGGGACGGGCGCGAACAGGAGCAGGAGCTCGTAAGGGGGCCACGGAGCGTGCAAAGGCCGGGTGTGCCGAAAAAGGGTCGGCGAATGGCGCGGACACATGCGGGCACCGCCACTGGAACTGTCCGTGGCACTTCCCTAGGGGGCCACCAACCGTGTGAGTGGTGTGCAAAATTTCGGGCCTGGGACAGATCCTGTTGCTGATGACGGTGGTGATGATTATGAAGTTTATGCTGATGATGCTGCTGCTGATGATGATGATGATGATAGTGCTGATGCTGCTGATGATGCGGGTGATGATGACGCTGCTGATCATGATGATGATGCTGATGATCGCATTGGATTGGGAGACGAGGAAAGCGGACACGAAACGGCGGGAGCGGAAACGAAGGCAGGCGGACACGACATGAACTGAGGGGGGAGAGAGAGAGAGAGAGAGAGAGAGAGAGGGTCCGTCCACGGCGCACGCCCCAGTGCCGAGCGGCTAATCACCACGGCCGCTCCTGTCGGAGACGCAGCCTCCGCACGGCCTGTCGTTTGTTTCGCGATGGCCTGAGCGCGGGCCGTGAACAACGGGCGGATGCAACCATGGCCCCAACGGTTTTGAACGCGAAGGGAATTGAAAGCGCAAACAAGCCAGGTATACTACCATAAGAGTATCGTGCGTAGATGTACTAAAGCCAAAAACTAAACCTCACGTGCTGTACCGCTTGCAATGGGGAAAATTGTCAAACCCATGAGAGAGCTACGGTGCCGAGACAGAGCCATCCCGCGTCACTCTGAACTTCTCCGATGCAGTGTTCATATCCTTGATTGATCGTGTTCGTCTTCTCCGCGATCTCTTCCATGCTCACCTCCAACTGGAGGTCGATATTCTCTTGACGGTGTGCAGCGCGAGCAAAGGACACCTCCACAGTGATTTGCTTCTTGGGCACAGGGTCGCCATTTTCGGGAAATGCATGAGAGAGGCCAGGATCATACGAATCAGAACTGTTTGGAAGCGGAAGGCGGGCTTCCCAATCATCCACCCGGCTGGCCAACGACTGCAGCTGGTCACGGAAGGGCTGCATCGGCGAGAAGAGAGCATCCTTGTCAAAGAACACTTGCTGCTTAAGCTGCTCCTTGGTGCCGAACGCTTGAAGCTCCTGACGAAGTAGCCGCATGGTGTCATCGAGGTACTGGGCATTAAAGTGGCGCGAGACCTTGTACGCAAGGTCGATGTTCCGAAGCTTCCGAGCCAACTCACCAATGAAGGGCATCACGAAGCGTGTTTACATGTCGTCCCTGGCTGTCGGAGAAAGCGCCGAGCACATCAGATGAGAAATTGGCTAGCATGCTCAGCACGGTGCTACCATAAGGAGACCGCATCGTGGGAACAACGCACCGAAGGGGCTACCAGGAACCTTGAGCCAAAATGGCTACGGATGATGATGATGATGATGATGATGATGATGATGATGATGATGATGATGATGATGATGAATATGATAAGATATAATAAGATAATATAAGATGAGGTAAGATAATATAATGATACTGCTGTGCATGGTAAGCCGCTCCCCACCGCCGACGAAAACTTTCTTGGCCAGAGATAATCAGGAGGTTGGTGGGAAGGGGGAGATGCTTCATTATCGGGGGCTTGAGGTTACGCACTGGGCGTGCTGGGTCTTCCGTCGCCCCCCTCGGGGCGTCCTCCTCTGGCGCTCCCTTCGGGGCGCCGACTCTCGTCGCCGCCCTCGGCGTGCCTGCTTTCCCTCTCCTCCCTCCCCGTTTTCCTCCTCGTACTCTTCTCCACCCTTGTCTTCCATCCTTTCCCCTCCTCCTTCGCGTTGTTGCTCCTTCCTTTGCCGTCGTAGTCGTCGTCATCGTCGTCGTCGTCGTCGTCGTCGTCATGTTTGTCGTCGTCGTCACGGTCGTCGTCGTCGTCGCCGCCGCTGTCGTGTGCGCCGCCGTCATGGTCGCTGCCGTTGCCACCGCCGCTGCTGCCGTCCTCGCCCCTGCCGGCGCCGTCCGGGCCGCTGGCGTCGCCGCTGTGCTGCCGGCGCGCTGCGGGCGCCGCTGCGGCTGCTGCCGCCGCCGCCGCCGCCCTCAGTGTCGCCGTTGCCGCTGGCGTCGTCTCTAGAGGCCCCCTAGACAAGGTCAGAGCAGATGGGATCGAAGGATCGCGCCGCATCGCCGATGTATCGCCGATGTATCGGCGATGCATCGGCGATGCGGTGTGATACGCCGACCCCAGACCCCAAACCCCATCCCTGGTCGTTCTCGTCCTCGTCGCCGCCAGGCCACGGGAGGGATCCGCAGGCGCGGTGGCAAAACGTGTGGGAGCTGCAGGCGCGCAATGGCGCCGCGCGCGCACCTGTGCGCCGCCCAATGGGCGAGGCAGGCGCGGCGCAGCGGGGGATCCCTGGCCACGGTCTTGCAATTGCGAGAGACCCGGCCCCACACGGGGCACCTGCCACACCTCTGCCGGGGCCCGGCTTGGGCCGGGGCCATATGCTTGCCCTTTGCCCTGGGCGTATCGACACAACGCGCCCCCGCGTCGGTGCGCAAGACCAGGCCAGACCAGGCCTGGAGAGAAACAGGGGCAAGAGGCGGCACTGCTGCGGCTTCGGGCTGCGTTCAGGCAGCCCCCAGTTCCCCCGCGTATCCCTCGGCGGTCTCACCCCCTGACCCCTGGGGCACGGAGAGCCCTGAGTCGGGCGTTGGCAGAACTGGGTTTAGTGGGACCTGGTGTACAAATGTGTACTGGGGGACGCCCCCCCCGCCCCGTTCCACTAACCGGAACTGCCGTCACCCGAAAAAGCACGAGCTACGGCAGACCTGGTTTAGTGATTCTGACCAATTCAAAAACTCCGAAGCCCTACCACTAACCGGGTCCCCTTACCTGGGGTCCTGGCTATACCCGACTGAGGGGCGCCGCTGGGGGCGGCACAAGGTGAGGCCACCCAGGACTGCCTGGGGGGCCGTGGGGGGCAGCCAGGACCACATGGGAGGGGGGAGGGGGGAACGGGCACGACGAGGATGGGGAGACCCTGTGACATTCTCTTCACTAAGGGGGGAAAGGATGGGGGTACGACGAGCAGAAAGAGGAACGATGTTTTCTTTTGGAAGAGACCGGGGGGAAGGGGCACGACAAGGATGAGGAGGAACTATATTGTCCTTCAGAGACGGGGAAGATGATCACTGCGTTAGGGGCGTTCTGGTCCTCCTTGCCTCTTGTCGTCGTTGCTGGACCCGCCTCGAAATCCTGGACAAACTGCATCACTGGACAAGTTCGGTGGGAGGTTTGGGGGCATGAGCTGATTTCGTCGGCGCTGGTTTCACTGGCGTTGGTTTCGCCCCGCTGGTTTCGCCGACGGCTGGTTTCGCTGGCGCTGGTTTCGCCGGCGCTGGTTTCGCCGACGCGAGCCCTAACGTGCGGGTCGGGTCGGGTGGGCGAACCCTAGCGGGCGGGTCGGGTCGGGTCGGGCGGGCGGACAGTAACGGGCGGGTCGGGTCGGGCGGGCGGGACATGCAAGTGTGGGGCACACTCGACCGAACACGCGCGAACCTTAACGGGGGGGTCGGGTCGGGTCGGGCGGGCGGACCCTAACGGGCGGGACGGGTCCAGTCGGGCAGGTGGACCCTAACGGGCGGGTCGGGTCGGGCGGGCGGGACATGAAAGTGTGGGGCGCGCTCGACCGAATACGCGCGAACCTTAACGGGGCGGGTCGGATCGGGGGGGCAGACCCTAGCGGGCGGGACGGGTCGGGTCGGGCAGGTGGACCCTAACGGGCGGGTCGGGTCGGGCGGCCGGGACATGGAAAGGTGGGGCGCGCTCGACCGAGCATGCGCGAACCCTAACAGCCGGGTCGGGTCGGGCGGGCGGACCCTAGCGGGCGGGTCGGGTCGGGCAGTTTAGCCGACGGCAGCTTGTTTCACCGACGGCAGCTGGTTACGCCGACGGCAGCTGGTCTCGCCGACGGAGCTGGTTTCGCCGACGGAGCTGGTTTCGCTGGGCGGCGAGACCAGCAGGGCGAAACCAGCCGTCGGCGAAACCAGCGGTCGCTGGTTTGGGGCGATCAGACAAGTCTTGGGAGGTTTGGAAGGCTGCAGGGATGTTGTTGGCGGGAGTTCGCGACAGCGACGTAGCTTGGCGAGAACTTCGAAAAAACGATTTGACGATTGGGTATGTCTCGTGGGAGTTGTGGTCAGATGTAAGAAAAACGATCAAGAACAGCAGACAGATGTGCTTTGTGGATTTTTCGGGAGGTGTGTTGGCGGTTTGGCCCAGGTCTTGGGAGGCATTGGAAGCTCGCTCGAAACGTGCTGTACAATTTGAGGACGTCTTGCCGATGTCATACTCAAACCACTTCTGAACTGTCCCCCCCCCCCTCCCCCTCCCACCCCAGCACCCCCCCCCCTCCTCCCCACCTCTCACCCCTGTCACCTGTGAAAGAAGAATAGGCATGAATAGAAGGAGGAGAAGCAGCAGCAGAAGGAAGCCCCCCGCCCTCCTCGCCCTCCTCCTCATTTTAACTTTGCACGGACTTGATCATCAGAGCTCCTCCTGCTCCCCCTCCTCCTCCTCACCATCCTCCCCTGTCCTCATCCTGCGTGTCCTCCCCCCCCGCCCCCCCCCCTCTTTCTGTAGAAGGGAGAGAAGGCGAACCCTCCCTCATCATCTCCCTCGTTCTCGTCTCCATTCCTCGTGCGCCCTCCTTCCTTCATGCTCCCCCCTGCCTCCTCCCTCCTTCCCCCTGCCTCCTTCCTCCTCCTCCTCTTATCTCCTCCTCCTATCTCCTCCTCCTCCTCATCATCTATGTCCTTCTCCTCCTCCTCCTCCTCCTCCTCTTCCTCCTCCTCCTTGCGTTCTCTTTCTCTCTCTTCCTCTCTCGGCCTCCTCCCGTCCCGCGGAGGCATCCCCGTGGCCTTCAGCATGGCCTCCGCGCGACCCATCTCCCGGAGCACGTACCGGCTGTAGGCCGTCTGCATCTGCCTGCCCTGCCCCGCGACCACGGGCGCCTCCGGGCGGGCGGCCGGCGGGCCAAGAGGGGGGCGGAGCTGGAGGCTTGGAAAGGTTAGGTGGCAGCTCCTGGGAGGTCTTCGTTGGAACGACTCAGGGCGATCCAGCCCGATTAGAAGGCCACTTAGCCGGATTGGGCCAAGAGTAAGCCCGGGAGTAAGCCGGATTAAACGGGCCTAAGCGGGATCAAGCGGGACTTAGCCGGATTAGCCAACATTAAGCCAGGCATCGACCGTCAAAATGCCAGTGTAACCTCCCAGCAGCTGCATCCCCGCAGGGGGGTGCCTCCACTAGGGCAAGGTGATTCCAGATTATGGTGCGGATGATCATCTTTCGGCAGCCTCGGAGCCCAAGTATGACCATCTCGAGGCATCCGACGGAAGGGAACCGCGGGAGGAGGGGCGGGGTGAAAGATGGGCCCACGTCTTTTGTCGTCTCAAGCCTCCCTGGGGCCCTCGCCTTGACCCGGGACCGTCAAGAAACGACCCAGGATCAAACGCCCGTCCACAAAGGCCTCCAAGATGGGGTCTGGGTAGATTGGGTCGGAGGATTGCGCCGCATCGCCAATGCATCGCCGATGTATCGGGGATGCATAGGCGATGCATCGGCGACGTCGGCGTGGGGAAACACGGGCTCCTCATCGAGCCGATCCTCCGACCCCATCTACTCGGATCTCATCGAGGAGGCCTAGGGAGTCCAAGGGATGGCTCGTGGCCTCCGGGCGTGCGCGCTGTAACCACCCCGATAATAACCACCCCGACACGCGAAGCCGTTTAGTAAACGCGCCCACAGAAGGAATCAAACAGGGCAGGGCTGTTTAGTGAACGCCCTCGGCCGTTTCGTAAACGCCAGCTGTCCGGTCTGGGTGGTTTTTCCTCCCGTGAAACCAGAACGTCGGGGGTCTTGGGGTGGGGTCGGGAGGAGGAGTCGACGAGGAGCACAGCCAGCACCTTTCGGAGCTCCGCGCGGACTCCCCTGGATTCGGGGATCTTCTGACCCAGGTCAATCCAGACCCGGGTCAGCAAGAAACCAAAAACTGCAATGCAGGAAAACAAAAACTGCAGCGCAGGCCTTCGCAGACCCGGGTCAGCCAATAGGCGCGGCCGCCTCCCGGCCACAAGCGGCTCGCTAACCCGGGTCAGCCAGAGGGGGTCTTCGCAGGATCCTGCAGCTTCTGGCGCTCTGGCTGACCCCCGTCTGCATTGACCCCCGTCTCGAGGCTCCCGATGGATCGGCGACGTGCCCTCCCGGCGACGCCCGGGGCGTCGCTCGGGGGAGCGCCAGGGGAGGGGGGGCCAGCGCAGCGCCGAGAAACCCGCGCGGGCACCTCCAAACGTTCACTGTTTTATACCATGTGTTCTTCCTCGAGGGAGGCTCGCCATCGCTCGGACGTCCATTCCCTGTGCATCCTTCGA